CCACCATACCCGTCTTTTAGATGAGACGTTACACAGAGGTCCTGACTCTGTGGTCATTGAAAAACTCATGGCTCTTCTTGTAAAGAGTAGGGCCAAATTCCCTCCATCATGGCCTCCCAATCATCCCCATCCACCAGATTGGCTCTTTTGCCGTCTCTCCACTCCAGCAAAAGCTGAGGTGAGCGCACTAGTGCCATTGTCCTGCGGCTGCCATCGCATCATCCAAGTGGATGCTGCACTCTGGTGGTGGTGTGGAGAGAACCTCGTCATGATTGTGAATCACTTTGGGTGTATGGCCATACACAATTAATGCACTACATAAATGCACATTACATTACAATGTGTTAGTTTACATGGACATCAATAATCCGATTTTAATACAATTAAGACAAATACCATGTAAACAGCAGTTTTTCATGTTCTTACTGTGACTAAAGTCATAATCGAACTGAACCGAAATCTAATTGAGAAATATGGAGTATGTCGATTTTAGTCACATTATTGAAGTTCATGTAAACACCGCAATCAAACTATTACGATCATGTAGGATTTTTTGCCGTGTTTTGCGACAAGATCCATACACACGGCTGTTTGACATCTATCTCTGCACCTACTAAGTCAGTAAAGGTTTTTTTCATTCAGTATAAATTGTCAAATTCTATTAAAACAATACTCCTCTAGCAATTCATCCTCGCATCCAATATCTCGTTTGTCACGGGGGGCATGTATAAAATGTTCCCCAATGAAAATGAAAGTGGCAAACTTTTCACTTAGTGCACGTAAAGGCGACAAATTAAAAATGAAACACTTGAAATTATACGAAACTCCTGAGGAAAGTGGATAGCGTGGTGACGCAATGACATTAATCAAATGATGTGCTACGGTATAACATGTAAAGCGGAATGCTGAAAGGAACATTTAAAAAGCAACTCATGTAAATGCCATTATCATATTATTGTCTTATTTAGATTGGGACAAATAAGTTGATTACTGATGTTCATGTAAATGTGGCCAAAAACATGTAAAATAGGTCTAAAACTATATACCTCCTGAGGCACAAACTTACTTTGAATAAGATGAGAAGATGGAGAGCGTAAAAGCCCAACTGTTGAACTTCAGACCTGCTCACCCGGGCCAGTGTTTTTCAGATCCAGCAGAGGAATGTGTGGAATGAAGCCTGTTAAAGATTTTACAGCATCAGACCTTTAGCCTCTTCACCCCCACACTTTTACTATGTTTTTGAAAATGGAAACCCTATTGCTTTTTCTTATGCTTATTTCTTTCTCTCTCTCTCTCTCTCTCTCTCTCTCTCTCTCTCTCTCTCTCTCTCTCTCTCTCTCTCTCTCTCTCTCTCTCTCTCCCTCCCCCTCTCTCTCTCCCTCACTTTAGATATATATATATATATATATATATATAAAATATTTACACAATATATCACATTATTATTCTCTCTCTCTCTCAATTTAATTTAATTTAAACTTGAAAAAATTTGGATTGTGCATTTGTAATGTTCACAATGAATAGAACATATAAAAACTAATTGCATAGTGGTAATGATAAAAATTAATGATAATAGTACTAAAATATGCAATAATACTAAACAATATTTAACAATCCATATTTTAGGATCTCTTTTAATACAATAATTGCTTTTTTGCCATGACAAATGTTGAAAAAAGTTTACATAAAGAACACACACCCACACAGTTAGTCAAAATTATTAGCCCCCCTGTTTATTTTTTCCTTCATTTTTGTTTAACGGAGAGAAGATTTTCTCAACACATTTCTAAACGTAATAGTTTTAATAACTCGTCTCTAGTAACTGATTCATTTTATCTTTGCCATGATGACAGTAAATAGAATTTTACTAGATATTTTTCAAGACACTTCTATACAGCTTAAAGTGACATTTAATAGCTTAACTAGCTTAATTAGGTTAACTAGGCAGGTTAGGGTAATTAGGCAAGTTATTTTATAATGATGGTTTGTTCTCCAGGTTATGGGAAAAAATATATAGCTTAAAGAGGCTAAAATTTTGACCTTAAAACAATTTAAAAAAATATATAACCGCTTTTATTCTAGCCAAAATAAAACAAATAAGACTTTCTCCAGAAGAAAAAATATTATCAGACATACTGTGAAAATTTCCTTGCTCTGTTAAACATCATTTGGGAAATCTTAAAAATAATCAAAAGGGGGCTAATAATTCTAACTTCAACTGTACACACACACACACACACACACACACACACACACACACACACACACACACACACACACACACACATTATTTAAATATATATTCAACAATCAACATTTTAGGATCTCTCTTTCCCTCTCCATATGTTGGCAATCTCCAAGGTCCTTCTCTTTCTCTCTCTCTCTCTTCCTTTCGCTTGTCCCTCTCACTCCATCATTCTGATTACATCCAAAGGGACCACCAAGAGCTTTGCAATCAACCTCTCTGATTTAAAGAAAAAAGAAGAAGAAAAAAGGAAAACCTGTTGTATTTAGACGAGAAGGGGTGTTGTGGGAATCCATTATTGTGAGTGGAGTGTTGACTACTCAGTCACCGAAAGCCCAAAAGGAAACACCAGCAGCCGGAGCTGGAAAATTAGCCCGATCCTTTTGGGCTCTGATATATGGCACATCTGGGCTGCCATCCATTGTTTTCAATTACGACTTTTAGCATGGCCTCTTGCTTGCTGAGCAATGCTCCTGCTCTGTTGTGTGTGTGTTTATTTATTTTTTTGCGTCTCCGACCAATTACACAGTGGACAGGTGTCGTGTAGCGCTAACAGATTGGCCCACCCGCCTCTGTCGATTTATTTATTTATTTTTTTTCAGGGAGCGTCTGGATGTCTCAGCATTCGCTCCCCGATGACGGTCACGACAACACGTTTTCTCTCTCTCTCTCTCTCTCTCTCTCTTCTTTTCTCTCTCATTGTCATTTGAGTGACTGTGAGACACGAGGGTGAGAAGTTCATCATGCAGTCAGTCATGTCTAATGAACGGTTAGACCCGCTTCCAACACCCGTGATTTTGACAGGGATTTTGCATGTAATTAGGGAGTGAGAATTGGTGAGGTGATTGGAAGCTATTAAAATGCAAGACCCTGCACAGTTTGAACGCTTTTGTTGTGTTTTTGTATATTTGTATTAGGGCTGGGCGATATTGCAAAAAAAAAAAAAATTATCATGATATCTTTTTTCTTATCATTTAATATCTATTGAATATTCATAACAATACATTTAGGAATATCAGGATTTTTTTTTAATCTAACTATATTATTTTTACTTACCAACATTACTAAGGCAAATAGTTTTAATAATCAAAAACAAATTATTTAAACAAAATATTTCATCTCTTTATAAAGAAATAAACGTAAGTGTTAAAGAGACTCTTTAACTTAATTAATACAATGTTACAAAGTGTGTGTAATGGTAAAGATGTCAATAATAATGATACAGAAAACTTCAAACTCTGTTAACAACACAAATTATGATGATCAAATCTGAGCTTTCTAGTAAAGAAGCAAACCATCATTATTCAAATACACGCTGCAACATTACAAATAAAGCTCTTTTTGGTGGGGAGCCAATGGCTGGGATGCACAAGAAAAGAAACCAAAAAGCCACTCTGGCGACGTCCTTACATGCTTTTTTATTTACAATCTCCTCACTGCTGCTATACGGCACTTATTTTCTCATGTGTTATTCTGACTTGAAGTGACAAGCGCGAGCGCGTGCTTTGTGTTTGTCCGAAGTAATTAGTCTGCCGTTAGTACAGAAATGTGTATATTCCATACAAAGTGTATTATCAATTTTGACAACAGTGTTCGGTCAACAAATTTCGATATTGATATTGATTTTATCGCCCAGCCAATAGTGGCCATGTTAAAGACGTCGTGAAATCTGCATGGCAGTTGTATAATTTGTTTTCTGTAATATTAGCTTACTCTATTGTTTGTTGCTGTCGTTTATTTTATTTATTTATTTTTTGTAAATTTAAACAAGAGTTGCAGGAGATTGAGTTTGTCTTTGTCTCAAAGCCACACACTCACACGCGAGATATCCATCGTCATTGTTTAGGCTTTTTTGGTGATAGCAGCTTAAAGACGACTCTCGTGTGGAAAATGAAGTCACATGCATTGCTCGGGTTATTTTTTTTTTCAGAGACCCTAACAGAGTTTAATAATCTTGATGGTTCTGTGGATCTCTTTTATCAAATCTGGTCTTTATTTTATACTTTCTATTGGATTCAAGTTTGGCTGGGCCATTCTACAGCTTCATTTTCTTTCTCTGAAAGCGAGTTTCCTTGGCTGTGTTTTGGATCATTGTCTTGCTGAAATGTCTGCCCTTGTTTTTTATCTTCATCATCCTGCTAATGTAGATGCTGGACTGATGCAGCTGATATTTATTCACACTGACGAAGGGCAGAGGGTTGTTCAAGAACTACTGAGAGATTTCAGCTGCTGTCTGGGCTTTCACTGCCTTTCTACACCTCCCTTTCATTATGTGTTCAATGTTTTTTCTGCGTCATTTCATATTAGCGCATTTGTAAACGCATTAGATTTGTTTTTCTTTGCATATACGTATTTCTTTGGTTTCCAACATCTGGTGAAAAATTCAAGTCAACAGCACCTTTAGAAATGTTTTCTGAGAAAACAGTGATGTGTTGAGTATATATATTAAAAATTAAAGGCAAATATTTCATATTTTACAATGTTTCTGATTCAGGAGATATTTGCGAAATTAACAAACTATACATGTCCTATTTGCCATCCTAATTTTAATAATTCAATTCATTTTTATTTCTATAGCACTTTTTCACTGTAGATTATGTCAAAGGAGCTTAACATAGATGGAGTTCTAGTAAACTGAAACCGTTTCAGTCCAGGTTTCACAGTTGAAGTTCAGTTCAGTTTAATGTCTCTGCTGAAAGCCCAAACACTGTTTTATTTGTTTGTCTTAACAAACATCTTTGCTTGTCATCGCCAGATAACATAAAGCGCAAATTCCGCCGGCGACCGATCTGGGGCCGAGGCATCATCCGAAAGAAAAAGAGCTATAAAAAGGAGGAAGCGGAGGAAGATGATGAACCCGAGGAGGAAGAGGGAGCTGAGGATTCGACAGTGATGGCACAAGGCGACGCTTGTCTCACCCTGGACGAGTCCTCCTGCGACACCATGGAGCTCCATCCTGAAAAACAGCCGCTCCAGGCCAATGGACACGTGCTCTCCACGGAGGAGGAGAACTCCTGCGAGCCCACGGCCGCTCGAGACGCTCAGGGTCAGGAGGAGGCTCCGTCAGAGGAGCCCACAGTGGCCCCGACAGTCCCCGCCCCTCAGGAGTGTGTGAATGGGAATGAATCTATGGACAGTGTGTACAGCGAGGCTCCTGATAAAGACACTATTAAAAGAGATGCACTTGAACAGAAACCAACAGAGCATAAAGAAGCTTCTGGCACAGAATGCAGTACTGGGGAGAATACGAGGACAGCGGAGGCAGTGGCATCTGATGGCGACCATGAAAAAGAAGGTAAAACTGTATATAATAAACAGCTTGTATTGTTTACTAGGTCCCGCTTTATATAAAGCGGCTTTGACGACAGTGAAAATGTGAATACAATGTACACTGCCTGACAAAAGTCTTGTTGTCAATCCCAGTTGTAGGAGCAACAAATAATAACTTGGCTTCTAGTTGATTTTTTGGAAAAGTGGCAGAAGGTAGATTTTTCTGATGTGTCAGCTGTTGAACTGCATCCCAATCATCACAAATACTGCAGAAGACCTATTTGAACCTGCATGAACCCAAGATTCTCACAGAAATCAGTCAAGTTTAGTAAGAAAAAAAATCATAGTTTGATGTTACATTTAATATGGGCTGAGTGGATGACAACATCAACAGCCTGAGGTATCAAGACATTTGTGCTGCCTATTACATTACAAACCACAAGAGAGGGCAAATTCTTCAGCAGGATAGCGCTCCTTCTCATACTTCAGCCTCCACATCAAGGTACCTGAAAGCAAAGAAGGTCCAGGTCAGGGGTGTTTAATCCTGTTCCTGGAGATCTACCTTCCTGCAGATTTTAGTTGCTACCCATATCAAACACACCTGCCTGTAATTATTAAGTGGTGTTTAGGTCCTAATTAATTGGTTCAGGTGTGTTTGATATGGGTAGCAACTGAAATCTGCAGGAAGGTAGATCTCCAGGAACAGGATTGAGCACCCCTGGTGTAGGTGCTCCAGGATTGGCCAGCCCAGTCACCAGACATGAACATTATTGAGCATGTCTGTGATAAAATGGAAGAGCCATTGAAGATGAATCAAAAGAATCTTAATGAACTCTGGGAGTCTTGCAAGAACGCTTTCTTTGCCATTCCAGATGACTTTATTAATAAGTGACTTGAGTCATTGTAGAGATGTATGGATGCAGTCATCCAAGCTCATGGAGTCAAACACAATATAAATTCTTTTTCCACTGCACCACGACTTTATATTTTATACTGTAAATTATTTCATAGATTATAAGTGACAAGATTTTTGTCTTAGGAAAGTCAGATTTTACTATCCTAATAAAGTAATTAAAAATCAAGGCATGATCATATGATTTTTTAGTTAAACAAATATCACTGTTATTTTGAAAATTAGATTATATCAATTTATATTTCCACAGAAAGCAAGGTAGATTGTGATTGGCTTTAAAAAATCTTTTTTTAAATGTATGAAAGGCACACTGATAATATATACATTACTGTTTCTCTGTAATGTAAGCTTTACGTTTGTTCTTTTACATTTCTTAAACATTTTGTAAACTACAGTAAATTTTAATCATTATACTTATCTTCTCTGGTATGAATGTGCCAAATGCAAAAGGACTAATTAGGCATATTAAATTGTGTATTTTCACATATTGAAAATGTTTATGCACTCAAGTTGGAGAACTCTAAACGGCCGTGGCACTGCAATAAACATAATTATATATAATTCTCTTATGCAATTAAGCCGAATGAAATAAATAACTGGGCAAAATAACATTTTAGTCTTAACAGATGTCCGCAAAGATGCTGGACTGTTGAATATTTCCTTGTATTGATTGTCAACTGTATACGGTTAATCACAGTTTGGAGGGAAAAAAAAATAACTGTGTTCCTGGACTTCAAAACACCATCTGTTTGTGAGCGTTTATCCTGCTGAGAGTTAAATACACCAACAGAAACACCCCGAGGACTCGTCTCTTCTTATACGGCTACAGACGTGTTTTTCCTACACCAGGTGTTGTCTGTTTCTGGTGTGATGTGTGTTCAGTTTTTTTTAATGTAGTATGACTTTGCTTCTTTTTAATAGGTTCATCAAAAGGGAAGGAATGTGGGAAAGGTCTGTCAGAAGTGCAGGCGGAGGAACCAGCTGTCAGACTCCAGGAGGCTGTGCAACTTCCACCACCTCCTGATCTTGTGGTTGACCATCAGCGGCTCAAGGTAAGGCCAAACTTTTGAGACACATTGCAGTAGTCATGCTTTCCACTATTGTGATGAACGTTGGGTAAGGGTGCACACTATATTGTAGTAGTCACATCGCAGGACTTGCAATGTCCTATAATTAAGATTTTGATTAACCAAAAAACCACAATTCGAAACAAGACTTGTGAAGTCATGTTTAAAGGGCACCTATGGTAAAAAATCTTCTTTTCAAGCTGTTTGGACAGATCTGTGTGTTGGTATAGTGTATAGACCGTCATACTGGGGTGATATGAACACACCCAGTCCTTTTTTTTCAATTTAACTACAAAAAAAAAGGGTCGGCCAATTGGAGCTGTTTTCAAATCGATCGCACCATTACGTAGGTGTGCGATCCCCCCGCTCACCGAATTGATTGACAGCTGCGCGCATTAACATGTTCCGGTAGTCGCGTGTATATGACAACAAGAACAGGCAGACATGCGCAAAGCAACCGGGAATAAAAGGTCTGAGGTTAGCCTTAACTAAGCTAAGCGCGCTCTGTCTGCCTGCCTGCCTGCCTGCCTGCATGCGTGTGTGCGTGCGTGCGTGCGTGCGTGCGTGCGTGCGTGCGTGTGCGTGTGTGTGTGTGTGTGTGTGTGTGTGTGTGTGTGTGTGTGTGTGTGTGTGTGTGTGTGTGTGTGTGTGTGTGCGCGCGCGCGCGGGTGCGCGCGTTAACTTTGTAACAATATTGTGTGTGACTCATCTATGCAACTTCACAATACTGATTAGTAAAGGTTAGTTCTTACTGTAGTATCTCACAAACGCTACGTGAGACCTTCTTCCTTTAAGTCTGTCTGTTGTCTGACGCAGCTGAGGGAGGAGGCATGTAGAAATAGTGGGCGGGAAAGACTCGTCTTAAAGGCGCGGTACGACAAAACCACCCCCTGCTGGAAATCAGTATAAAACAGCATCTTGCAAAAGGTATAATGAAAAATCTGATGGGTATTTTGATCTTAAACTTTATATACACTTTCTAGAGACGCAAAAGACTTGTATTAAATCTGAAAAAAGGGGTAACCTAGGTGCCCTTTAACTATAATCTAAAAGTATGAAAGATTTTTGTTTAGATGACTTTTTAAGGCCCCTGACTGTACAATTTCAAGCTAATTTAAACAATTTGGACATGAAATGGTTAAGTTTGCTTCATTAACAAAGATAACTGTGTTTATACAATAAAGACACTGTACAGTGTTGTTTTGCATTTGATTATTGAATTTCTGTTCCTCGATATCGTTAGACTCAGGAAAAAATAACTTTTGTTTAATTTTTTCTTTTGTTCTATTTTTCATCTGTGCTTTAATTCATTTTATTTTGTATATTTTTTGTAGAATTTTATACATTTTATGCAGAAGCACTCCCTTGCAAAATCATCCATTAAGTGTAAATAGTGTGAATAGCAGATTAAAATAAAGTGTGAAATTCATTTTATTGCATTTAAATCGCCTAATAACTTGGTTATTCATTAAGTTATTTAACTGCTAAAAATCCACATGAGTCTCAATGCATAGACGAAAGAAATTGAAACTTAATTTTTTAAAATTTGAGACAAACAGGACCTTTTAATTTTGCTTTAAAAAAGAAATAACACTTACGTTTTACTGGTCGGTATAGCAACAGCAGTGTGAACGTTGTCTCAATGTTTTTTTTTTCCCCAAAGTATTTTATATGACTTTTTGGTAACACTTTAGAATAACTATCTGTTATAACTAGTTAATAGACCATTAATAAACTGTTAGTTAACAAGTTATAAATGACTTGTTAAATAAAAGTTAATAGTTTGTTAATTATTTACAACTGTGCCTTATAGATGGGCAATGGATAACTTACAAGCAGTTAGTTGACAAGTTGTAAATGACTTCTTAACTGTATTTTAATGATTTATAACTATACCTAATAAATTTTTAAGAGATCATGAACAAGCTGTTAGTAAATTACTTAATAAAGACTTGTTAAGTATCAGTTATGGTGTATATATGTTATTGGGACGTTATTCTAAAGTTGCAGCTATTTTTCATTTATTAACTGTTAGTAAATGTGGAATAGTTGCAACTTTAGAATAACGTCCCAATAACATGCTTAAGCTAATAACTAGCACTTAACTATTATATTTACTCACACTTTACAGACGAGAGTTGTTCATCTTTGTTAACCATCTACTAATACCAATGAATCCTTGTAGAACAGCAAATGGATGGAACAAGTTCAAGCTACAGAAATTTGATGTAATATTTAAAATATAAAATGTTAGTATCTTAACCTTGTTCCACTTATAGGCTTTTCAGTGTGCTGTGTTTTACCAAAGAAACTCCACAGATGAAATGTTAAAAGTTGTCTTTAATGTATAGAAACACACATACTGAACCATGACATGGCAGTACAGCAGTATGCAAGAATACAAACCCATGAAGTGCTAAACATGAAAACAAAATAAATAAAAAAATTTAATTACACCAGTGATCTAATAAAAAAGTTTCACTGGTGTTATTATAGGGTGAACAACTGATCTGTAATGTGTGAGTAAATATAATAGTTAAGTGTTAGTTATTAGCTTAAGCATGTTCATGTTGTAAGATCATGAACAAACTGTTAGTAAATAACTTAATAAAGGCTAGTTAAGTATCTGTTAATAGTGTATATATGTTATTGGGACGTTATTCTAAAGTTGCAACTATTCCTCATTTACTAACAGTTAATAAATGAAAAATAGCTGCAACTTTAGAATAACATCCCAATAACATATATACACTATTAACAGATACTTAACTAGCCTTAAGTTATTTACTAACAGCTTGTTCATGATCTATTACTAATTTATTAGGTATAGTTATAAATCATTAAAATACAGTTAAGAAGTCATTTACAACTTGACAAATAACTGCTTGTAAGTTATCCATTGCCCATCTATAAGGCACAGTTGTAAATAATTATCAAACTATTAACTTTTGTTTAACAAGTCATTTATAACTTGTTAACTAGCAGTTTATTAATGGTCTATTAACTAGTTATAACAGATAGTTATTCTAAAGTGTTACCGACTTTTTTACTTCGACGCTTGAGTTGATTGAACATAAAACTATTAAGTTGCCTCCTAAAAGCCTCAAGAATTATTGTGTTTCAATTCATTTTCATTCATTCATTCATTTTCTTGTCGGCTTAGTCCCTTTATTAATCCGGGGTCGCCACAGCGGAATGAACTGCCAACTTATCCAGCAATTTTTTACGCAGCGGATGCCCTTCCAGCCACAACCCATTTCTGGGAAACATCCACACACACATTCACACACACATTCATACACTATGGACAATTTAGCTTACCCAATTCACCTGTACCACATGTCTTTGGACTGTGGGGGAAACCGGAGCACCCGGAGAAAACCCACGCAAAGGCAGGGAGAACATGCAAACTCCACACAGAAACGCCAACTGAGCCAAGGTTCGAACCAGCGACCTTCTTGCTGTGAGGCGACAGCACTACCTACTGCGCCACTGCCTCGACCTTCAATTTATTTTAAATGAGCAATTTTAAAAAGCAGTAAAAAAAAATTAGTGTACGTAAATATTGAGGGAAAATGCTTTACGATTTATATCAAGATGTTGAATCACATTCAGTCTTTTACATGTTATTTGTGCACAAGGAGAGCACGAGCAGTAAATCATTGGCTGCAGTTCACATAACATCCACCTATGTCGCTATTAACAAGAGTTAATAAACAAGAGTTGGCAGTTTGAAGCTCTGTGGAGGTTTTGGTATGATTGCAAAAGTTTTTTTATATGACTTATTTTTACTGGGGAAAATGCTTTATGCTTTATATCAATATTTTGAATTACATTCAGTCTTTTGCATGTTATTTGTGCACAAGTGTGAGCATGAGCAATAAATTAATGGCTGCAGTTCACGTCCACCGGTGTTGCAGCCACCAGCAGTTTGAAGCTCACTGGAGGTTTTGTTATGAGTGTGCAAAATTGTTTGATATGATCAGTTTTTACTTCTAATCCAACAATGGGGAAAATACTTTACAATTTATATAGAGATATTGAATCATATCCAGTCATTTACATGTTATTTTGTGCACAATTTTGAGCATGAGCAATAAATCGATAGCAGCAGTTCACATAACGTCCACCAGTGTCGCTATTAACAAGTGTTATTAAACAAGAGTCAGCAGTGTAAAGCTCTCTGGAGGTTTTGCTATGAGTGTGCGAAAGTGTTTGATATGTCTATTTTTTGCTTCTAAAAACATTAATAGGATTTATATTGTGACATTAAATCACATTAAATTTTTTTTTAGATGTCAGTATCTGTATTGTTAATTTTTAAAAGCTATTGTGCTCCAAAACAGTGACAATTTGCATTCAGAAGATATAAAAATGATATAAACATGTCTTGCTTGCAGTTTGTCACTTCCACCTATAGGATCAATGTATTTATTCACTTCAACTCATACTTTAGTTTCGCATCAAATCGTGACCAATCAAATGGTCTTTAGTGTCTGACAAGTCCCGCCCTCTTCAAGACGCTTAACATTAGATGCGCTTGAGCTCAGTCACTCTCACAAGTTGTGATAAAGTAATAAAGCAAAGTTTTATAAAAAGGGGAGGAGCTGCACTATGTTCTGCCCTCTCTTCGTGTCTCGGTCAAGAGTATGTCAAACATCAAATAAAAATGCACTTTCAAAGCAATTCACAGGACCTTTAACCCCCATCGGTTTTCACTATTCACAAAAGTTTTCGAATTCTACATGTAGTCCCTTTAAAAAATTGTTCATTAACCTAATGATTATCCCCCACACCTCCACCAATATCATTACCCCATCAAACAGTGGAAGTTGGAAATGAGGTTTTCTGCTGTCTCTGATTACACCGGGTGATTGTTCTGAGGTAACATACATCCATAAGCACATCCCATAAGCTCTCTGCACATTAGTGTACTGTAGCTACGCTGTAATGTACTGATCTCAGAAGGAGGGAAATCACTCCAA